GAAGCTTATATAATTAATGTATCATTATGAAATAATTGTCTATCTTCTTATATCTTATTCTATATCGAATTATAAAACCTCTTCGAGCCAAAAAAACTTCAATATTTGCATCTGATATTGAAGAATGATTACGTCAGTTCTATATCCGATGAAAACTACTTCGTTCCAACACAACAAATGCTATATCTATCATTGCACCGGCCGAGAAAATAATCTTGGCCGCCACTAACGTTCGCTAAATATTTATTGATGTCATTATAATATCGTTGTTGATATTTTCGGGGGGATCCCTTAGTTATTTCAGATTTTCATTCTGTGATGTGTTTCCCTGAACGTGCGACGTAATTCTGATGATGACCTCGTGACGTTAAGTAAACCGATCGATAAATGATGAAGAAATAGTCAACAGAAATCTTAGTTTTTACGAAAGAAGAAAACTCGAGGGGATAATTATCAATTCCAAAGAAAGATAGATAATTGTTGGATATATAGAAAGAAAATATAAACAGAAGATCTATAATATTTTTTAGCGAGTATTGATATAATATTTTAGTTTGATTTATTCCCTTTAAAAATTATTTAAAGAGATTATTAAAAGAAAGATTGCACATATTTTTACTTAATGACTATTCTTGACTTTAAAATATTAAATAAATATACCAAATTATTTTATATAAAATTGCTTTATGTTTTGTTATTACATTTAACTATTTAAAAAATTGTAATTTTTATTGATGCATCTGATCGAAACAGCTATTTTCATAATATTAGTCATTTTGTTTTTATATTATTAATGTTATTATTATAGTTGTTACAAAATAAATAAGTTCTATATCAGAATTATTCTGAGATAGATGGATATATGCGTACATCTTATACAAAATGCACAATTTATTTAAAAAAATATGTGCATAATTTACTGAAAAAAATAATTATTTTATCTTTTCACGGTTTATATTTTCGAAAATAGATTTTTCGCGTTATTTTCTTCGCACGGTAAAATTTATTTTAAGTTGAGAAATATAGATGTTTTGAGAAATATAGATGTGTGTGTGTGTGTGTGTGTGTGTGTGTGTGTGTGTGTGTGTGTGTGTGTGTGTGTGTGTGTGTGTGTGTGTAAGGAGGATCAGCAATTTGTATATTTAAGAATTAAGAAGTGTGAAAAGCTACGCGATAAATTAGCAAATTTCGACATGTCACACGACATGACAGTTTCATGAGAGTTTTTTTGAATTGCAAATCGCGATGAAAATAAAATTTGTTATCTTACCGATTGTTGATATATCCTCCGCATGCATTCTATCGCTGTGACTTTTTGCGATCGGTGATCCAGCTGTAGTCTGGTTTTTACGAACCAAATCGGATTTGTCAATGTACACGCGATGAAACCTGCAAAAGTGAACGGCCGTTTATTGAATCCGCACGGTTCTCGGTGTTTCGAGAATGGATCACCAGACGCCTTATTTTTTTCATCAATTAGATTAAAATGGCAATTTATTTCAAATATTACTGCTCGATAGATATTTCGCAAAAGATAAATCTAGCTAATTAATTTATCGGAAAATAAAAACATCAGTTTTTGGCATCTCGCGTATGTACGTCATGAAAATTATTTTAATACTCGATTATCACGTTCCTAAGTATAACAATAATTTCTTAACAATACATCCGAATACAAGATTAATAAATTCTCTTAACTTTAATTTTTTGTCAGTGTGTTGAATCACCCTTAATTGTCAGATAAGATCCAATTTTATTTTTTCTTTCTTAATTAAAATCCTCATTAAGATTCATTTATATCGATAAGAGCGTAATTTTTAATTTTTTTTTATAGCATAGGGTACTATCATAGATTTGAAATTTTTATAATTCATAGAATTTGTTCTTCCCATTGACCCGATTTTGCGAAAGGTCGACAGAGCATTGTACCACTTATAACATACCGAGAATATGTGGGTAATGCATGAGAGTTACGCAACCGAGAGTACTACGTGTCGTTTAACACGCAATTTATAGCAGGCGGCGACTTGTTTATATCTTATTTACTTTTTTGCATTACCTGAAATTCCACTCGATGCGGAACGCAAAATTCGACAAATTGAGAAAAGAAATAAATATTCGAAATAGCGCCGAAGATCGATCATATTATCGCGATTACGTAATCTCATATAAGTTTCTGAAGAGATAAACTTCTGAAGAAACAAATTTCAGAATGATAAATCATTCAAAGCGATTGTTAAAGAGAAGTTGAGTGAGAAGTTTGAAGTAAATTTTCTTGATCCAGAAAATCGATTATAAAACGCAAAACTGTCGCACGAATATAAAACTTCACATATCAAAATATTATATATGAATGTTAATCTTCACAGCAAATGTTTTAAAATAATATGACAATTCAAAAGCATTTGAGAAATTAAATGTGACATAAAAATTATGATTGCAAAATTATGCAATGTAATATTTGAAAAAGATAAATTAAGATATAAATTATATTTTTTTTCTTTTGATTACTAGATTTTTTTAAATATATTTTCGAAATAGAAATTTTATTTCGCGAAGAAATAAAATTATATTTTTTTATATACTCTCATCTGAAAAGTTATGCGGAAAATAATTTTAATTACACATTTAATAGAGAATTTTAATTTCTTTTTTGGCAACAAGGAAGGATCAAAGGAATTGGGGAAAATCTAATGATCAATCATTTACCTAAGAAAACGAAAGATTCAATTTTTGACAAATCAAGAATAATAAAGCCTAATTAAAAGGATACATTTTTTTAAATTTGAAAATCTTTGACGAGTGTCACTTCTTGTGAAGTGACATTTATCTAATTACCTAAAAAAAATTTGGAAATATGTACAATCTTGTAAGATTACATAAAAGTAGTGTCCAAAATGGGATATATATAATTGGACTTTGAGCGGCGTTGTTTATAATCAATAAGAGTTTTTGAAGCGAGAACGACGTAGAGAGCGGTCTTCCCTCTTTCTCTTTGTATTATTAGCATACCGTATTATCTGCAATTATGACGCAATTCCGGTTGCACCGTTGCGGCCGTCGCGTCGTATGATTCTTCGATGATAGAGCTACTGTCGCTTACGTTCAGTGCGACCGCAAGACGCATGGAAGGCGGGCATTGAATTACGTGGTGAGGACGGCTAAAAATAGAAGTATACTGTCGGAGAGGCACTCTCGCTTGCCGGTGAAGCGACGCGACAGAAGGAGGGAAAGGGAGGAAGGGAGGAAAAGGGAAGGACAGAGAAGGAAGAAAGGGAGAGGAAAGGAGACTGTCAAACACGCACCTGCCGCGACTTCCTACATCCGAAAAATAATTCAAGGTTGGGTGAAAGAGTGAAGAAATAGATACTTCGGTGTATCTCAAGTGAAGTGACGTCTATGGCGGATATTTCGATATTTATACGCTTATAATATTTATAAACTTACACTTCCCACACTTGTCTTTTATTTGCAACTTTTTTTAGCGATATAAAAAAAAACATGTGTTATTTCAAAATTCTAATATCTTCGAAATAATTATACGTAGCTTTCTAACTTAGAAATTTATCAATGTTCAATATATATAAAACCTTGTTTGCAAAATTTAAGTGCTAATAAAGTTTGAATAAAAATATTAATTTTCTTATTATGAAATGATTAATAATGCAAGAGGACAAGTTTAACATGTAACGCATATCACAATATCCTTGAAGCAAGTTACTGTTAAAGGAAAAATAATTTCAAGTGTTTCAAAAGAATAAAGTGCGAATTAAACATAAATGACCGAAAGCAATTTTTATCATTTGTTTACGCAAATTGCCGGTTAAGTAACATACGTTATAACAATGTCATTGTTCATGTGTAAACATTCGAATGTTGATTATAAATCATTGAATGGTGAATCTGTGAATGATAATGGAACTGAGTAAACAGATCAGAATAATGCCTCAACGTCGATAAATGCACGTTATATTATAAAAAGTCAATATAAATGCGTTTCTTGCAAATTTGGTTTTGTCAAATTTACAAAAACATCATAGAAAAAAATAAAAAAAAAAAGTTTAAGATTCAAATTTTTTTTTGCAGATTGTTGGTTAAAGTATTTCTGAAGTTTTATTAAAATTTATGCCTTCAATTTAAAAATTAATATGCAAAATATTAATAGAAAACAAAAGAGTTCATATAGCTGAAAAATAACAAAAATTTTTATCATATTAATAAAATTTTACTTTTCGCTCCTTAATGTTCTTTTAGTCTATGTATATAATATATATGTTATAAATATCCTTTACAAACAAATGCGTTATTTAATTTTTTATAAAAAGTATGCTGCTAAAAAAATTATTTTCATCAATGTATATATATTCTCTCTTAGCTTTTTATCATTTTTGTTCATACATCAGTCTATTCTGTTTTTTATCTCGGTTTATTTTTGGAATAATTCAAAGCCATTAAAGAAAATGACTGCAAGAGCCACAATGAGTTATTATAAAGACAAACAATAACAGGAATTATTACGAGCTATAACGAAGTTCTCTGTAAAAATTGATCGGCAGACATATGTTGAGTTTATGTAATATCTTATCTGTGTGTATGTAAATGTGCACATGATAGGAATATTCACAGTCGAGGTAATCCATACTCTCGCACAGATGCGAGATGTGAATGATAACAAATAACACTCAACTCGTCAATGACAGTAATTGTACTAGAGATTAGATTCTATCCTAGGGGTAAACAATCGTTATCTTTGATTGGCAATCAACGTTTGATGCAACGTAAATAGAAATAAAAGAATTGAGAGCATTAGAAAAGTTGGTTATTCCAACAAGCAATACGTCATTGCAATTGGTATAAAAATAAAGTGGAGTTTCTTTTTTATTTGCAAAATTGTACGAATGATTTATATGATAAAAATATGGGAAAACATTTCCAATAGTTTCCATTAGTTAATTTCGAACCAGTTTGGACATCATTTTTCTAAAACTTATCGAGATTTATAAATTTTATGTTCTAAGTATTTAAATTATGCATGAAATTTTGAAAACTTTATTAAGATTAAACTTTTTCATTCTTTAAAATCAATGTTATTTTGGAAGTCTTTATTTATATCCCGTATAACAATTTATATTCTGCAGAATTTTATAACAAGAACAATCTCTATTTTCCCTGAGATTAAGTCTAAACGAGTGGAAGAATTCGCAGTTAAGAAATTCTTGAGCAGTCTGTACTTACGCAAAAGCGGGAATGATAAACAATTGTATCGTGAGAGGAGACACACGTGCCAATTGCATGGCTCCCCTGCGAACAGATCTACAATAAACGAATCGTATTCTCGAGATCAAAGTTCAGCATTCCGAGCGATAAACTTTTTTATCACTCGCGAAATAATCTTATTGACTACCATTTATCGGGTGTCTATGAATAAGAGAGTTTCGTAGATAAGTGAAAGAGAAGACACATCGGAAAGTGCATTATGCAATACTTCCATCGCCTTTTTTCGGGAAATTTCAATCGAGGATCTCGAAATGAGAAAGACTGCACGTAAGGGGTTATTAAAGTAATTTTCCATGCAATTATTTATTTTATTTCAAGTTATGTTCAATATATTTGTGTAACAATCAGTGTTATGCAGATAAAACGCGAATTTTACTAAATTCATGAAATATAAATTAATTGATATTATGATTTATGTATGTTTAAGAAAAAACGCAAGACATTTTTAATTTTGTTGCTACAGTTAAAATTTTTTGTTCTTTTTATAATGAAGCTTGTCTTCAAGCTCTCAAATACACTACTGAGTTTAAATGATTTAAACTTCATCATTTCTGAATATTAAATAATACTTTAGTGGCAATTATAAATCGATAAAAAAATGTAATACTTTAATTTTTTCGAGGGTAAAATTATACAAAGTAAAAAATTCAATTCGGTCGTTCTTTCAATAATTCTTTCTCATTAAGAGAAATTGGTCGGCGACTCCATTAGACGAAATTTAACACGAAAAAATTTTTGTCTGGGTTGGCTGTTGAACGTTGTCTATTTTGTGAAAATTCAACGAGAATAAACGAAGCATAACGAAAGAAAAATAAAAATCGCATATAATTGTAACAGTGGTTATATCTACCGAGTGTCCTCGAGGGTTATCGACATCAAGGGAGTTCTAGCTGCGCGTCAGACTCGCAATGCGACGTCCGCACTTCGATATATCCATTAAAGATAAACGCATGAATGACGTGCAGAATATTTCTCCCCCCCCCCCCCACTCGAGCGTTAATCATGTATCTATCGTCATTCTAGTGATTGGATTTGTCGAAGGAAACATGACGAGACGGGGCAACAAGGGATATTTCCTCGTATGGATTTCGCTCTTTTAATCTTTCTCTTTTTTTTTATTCGTCAAGGTCAGCGTATTATGTTTTATGTAGGAGAATATGCAGTATGGAAAAAGCTCTGATGAGATGGCTGATAGAGCATGCAATATATGAAGAAATTAAATAAAAATAATTTCATGTACAGAGGTCTAATTTTATCCCAAGACTGAATTCAATATTTTAAGAAAATATTTAATTTTAAATCGTCTCATTTTCAATAGTTACTTACTTTTCTCAAAATTTGTATGCAACATACATATAAAAATGTATCACAAAGAAGAAATAACAAAAAACCTATTTTAATAAAAACTTATTTTAATTATTATAATTATTAAATTTCAGCTTGCGGGTTTACTTATTATAATCGCGTAAAAATATAGTTTATCTCCGTTGAACGATGCAAAAATAGAAGCTAATCAATGGAAAATAGCTGTGAGAGATATAGAGCGACGATACTACTTTTCATATGCAGTGTAATATAATTTTAAGCATAATAAATGTAAACAAATGCAAATCGTTATATGCGAGATATAATGAAATGTTTGCAGGCGAAAACGTAAGTTGATTTAAAATAAACGACACGAGAAGATCGATATTATGTAACATGATCTTAGTAATTACGATATAAAAAGACATTGTATCAAGCTGTATTGTCTATATATTGATTTAAGGATTGGTTTAATTGATATGTCGTTATTGCACATGATAATATGTATAATATTATACGATATGTTAGTATATAGTATAGTTACTATAAAGTCTTGTGTACCTACTGCTATTAATCGATGTTACTTTATAACATTGTTTAAAATAGAAAATTAAAAAAAAATGATCAATTGTAATTTACAATTATATTTTATATAATTTTTTGTCATAGAAAAATGAACAAAAAAAAATGCAAACAATTAAAATAAAGACTAAAGAATAGCATATTTAAATTTCAAATATCGCTAAAATGTATAAAAATCGATTTTAATTAGAATCGAATTTCAGTGTAGTGTAAAAAATCCCATTAAAGTCATCATTAAAAAGTAAAATAATTGCTAAACTAATTTTCGTTTGAAAATTCAGATACATTTTAAAATTTCTAAAATTAAAATTATTATTGAAAGCGATTATTTGTTTAATAACGCGAAATTAAATTCAAGACACATAGAAAGATTTTAATATATCGTAGCACATATATTTAGCATATTAATATTATAATAGTAGTCTTACCAGCGCAGGATGCGGCGAAAACGTGGACGATCGGAGTGTCAGGTGGCAGAATCGCATTGAACGCGACCTTGCTTTTGGAGTACGCGCAGAAATAGATCGCTCTGGAAGGTGCCACGCCAATGAGATTCGGACCAAGACCTTTAAACAGTCCTCGTGCACCCTCATTCTTGATGATGTACCTTAAGCATTGATAGATGCCCGGCGCGTGCCGGGAAGAATCTGGAGGTGAAGTCGAGACGCCAAAATGCGAGAGAGCTACAAAATGACTGGAATACCTGGAACAAATCGAAAGATATGTTTAAGAATATATCTTCCTTTGGATGTATGCTGCTCGATCGAATTCTCACATATTCGTACGATTATGTTTAATATATGGCAAAAATAAATATGTGTATAAAATTATTACTTCATATTCTCAAAATTTCAATATTATGAAAAGAGTTCTGATATAGAGTTTTAAAGAGAATTCTTGCAACTTTGCACTAATATCTGATAAAAATAAAAAATTATTTTGGCGGTTTTTTAATTTTCGAATGGAAATTTTCTAAAATAAGGGAGAAATTTTTCACAAAAACTTGACAATTTCTTCGGAATTATGGATTTTTCAAAAGTTTTAAGATTTATTTTTATAATACTTAAATTGATAAAATTGAAAATGAATTTTGGCGAAATTTTATTTATTAGAAAATTTTCAAGAGGTTTCAGAGATGATAAAGTTTTCGCTGAGATCCAGTGCTTTTGTTGGAATTCTATATGGCCTTAAAAATTCTAATGATTTTCCTTGCCTTCCATGTTAAGTAAAAAAATAATAACAAGAGACCTTCAAAATAAATCTTATGCAAAATATTTGTCGTAAATCATTATGTTCATTATAAAATAATTCCTACAGTTGATTTAAATTATAATTGCGACACACACAGAGCACCAAATCAGTATTATTGTGCAATCAGTATTATTATCAATATTAATTAATTTAATTATTTTTGATTAATTTACCTGGGGTATCCAGTGCATAGCCTTCTGCGTTGTTCAGGTGTTGGTGAACCTTTGCATGTTGGATGACCAGATGTGAATTCTTTGCTTACGGGTGGTGGATGAAAACCGGAAGATGATGACTGCAATCGGGTTTTTACTACCTCAAGTGGACAAGTTACTATTGCTCCTGCCGTGCCAGCCACTCTATGCAAAATAAAAGAAAGATTAGTTTGCGATTAGTTTATGACAACTTCATCAATATTATTAGCTTTTACGATCGATTAATAATTTCTCGCATTTATAAGGATATTATGATAAGTATGATATGCGTAATAATTAATTAATTAAATCTTATGTATTTACACTCATGGATAATACATGGATGTATGTTATGTGTGCACATACACATATACGTCTAACTGTTATAGTTTATATAAAAAAACTGATATAAAAAAAAATAGTTATTTTCTCCTGGAAAGTGTAAAAAGAATTTATTATGCAAGAGTACCTAAATAATAATTTTTATTAAGAATACCTAAATAATAAAATTTTCTAATCGTGACAATAAAGTTCTAACTATAATTAATTTGTTTACAAACAAAATAAAACATATATTGAGAAAACAAAATGTTTGCGACAGATGTAGGTAATCAGATTTTCTTATCTTATCTGACTAGAAATTACGGCAAGATAAAAATTAGAAATAATTGTTAAGATAACAGTAAAAGCATGAGAAATATCGCATAATTTGAACGAAATAGGAATATCAATATTTATCTGGTGTAAATTCTCAAACATTATTGACACAATCTCGCGAATCTTTCCAATTAGACTTTTGACAGTCATCTTTTGTCGAATCGCAAAGCAATTAGCAGTGTTAGTGAATCGATATTCACGGTTGTTACAACATGTTATCACTACCACATTCATGCTTGTAAAAATTCGCACTCGCATTCTGATATTCAAATAATGAATATTAAATATATAAATCAAAAAGCGATATTGAATTATTAATTTGTTGCGTTTCTATAATATAATGTATCATTTTATATATATAGAAAATAAAGATTTTATTAAACTTTAAAAAACTAAATAAAAATAACCAAATATTACATTTTTTATTCATTTTTGTAATATTTTATTTTAAATTAAATCAATTTTAACTAAACTTTAATTTAAAAAAAAAA